TTTTTTTCGAATAAAAAGGACCTTAGAAATCTAATCAGAAACGAATAGAAATAAGCTATTACAACACCGACAAAGGGAGGAAAGATGATGGCAAGCTCAATGTCATTCTCTGCTACATAATGACACCTACTCTCTCAAATGTAACTCATCCCAAACAGCCTTAGCCCTTTTCTTTCTTTTAAGGATAGGTGTAAACTTCCCATGCTGTTTTAAAATAAGGGAAGTGTTGCGAGGCTAATGAACTTTTCCTGTTTACTCTAAAGATCCACTAGTACCTAGAGACGATAACTACACAAGAGAGAAAATCTGCCTTGTTCTATGGGACTTCTGTACTTCTTCTAGAATGGAATGGACATTCAAGGTGAGTTCACTTAACAGCAGTCACAATGCTGGTCAAGAATTAAAGTACCTGGATCATTTCAAAACTTAATATAGACACCCTGTACATTAAACTCCTCTCACCCTTTGTCCAACAGACCTACAGTTAGGTAGTTTGTACACTACATAGGGATCCAGACCAAGACAAGTTAGTTCATGCTCTGCTATCCATACTGTGTCTATGGCACCGAGACTATATTGGTTGGAGGTCCTTGTTCCCTGGATGAGAGTATTTGTAAATGGATAGTTCCCTTAAGGTCCTAATCTCTAATATTTGCTCTAATTTGTTTTAAGAGCTCTGATCTAGAAATCCCAAGAGATAGTGTAGAATGGATATAATGTCTGTCATAAGGTCACAACAAGGAGAAAATTTAAGTAGGCCTGAAAGAAAATAGCGTCTTTAGCCACACCCACTGACATTCCTAACAATTCTGTTGGGAAGCACATATCTGATGTAGATATGTGTTTTCCATTTATAATTGTTTGTTAGATAGCACTGGCTATACTTCATTTGCTGATTAGTAAAGTGTCTGGAGTTCACACCCTTATGTTGACTCTTGTATTCAATGATTTCTTCTGTTATCTTGATACCTGAGGTGAAGAACATAAGCAGCAATTTCTGGAGAATAGAACATTCTTGCAGTAAAAGAATGTCACAGATTAACGATGATTCAGCTGTCAGGGTGGAGAGACCAGACAGACAGAAATACACAGACTAACTCCTTTCCAGGCTGTTCCTGATCAGCAGTGGAGCCTTTTATTTTTATTTATTGGTATGTATGTATGTATGCATACATGCATGTTTGTGATGTTTGTGTGCATGCCACAGGTGTGCAATTGCCCTCAGGCCACAAGAGGGCATTGGACCCTCTGAAGCTTGTGTTGAGGCAGTTGTGAACTGCCAGAAATGGGTGCTAGGAACCAAACTTGTATCATTTGGAAGAGCAGTAAGTGCTCTTAACTACTGAGCCACCACTTCTGCTGCAGCTATGGGCACCTTAAAATAAACTGATAGTCCTAGTAGTTACTGTCTACATAGGCATGGGTTTTATGCTACCATAGACACCATGACAGGCATTGGGTGAAGAAACAGAGTGGGTATTCATGGAGATAATGGCTTTGGGACAAAGTGTTGGGAAGTTGCCACTTTAGGGAGAAAAGAATAAGACAGATATTTCAGGTAGAGCTTGGTTGCTCGAGGCTGATGGAGTAACATTAGTTATTGTGTATATTTATTGGGGCCTGAAGAAGAATTATGCTAGCAGGGAGAATATACGACTTATCAAAACACAGAAAATGAATATAGCATCCAATATCTTATCCAGTAACTTTATTCTCTTGTGTGTCCTGCATGGCCGCTACAAGAAGCTGCATTTTAAATCCCACGAGCATCTATCTCATCTGAGGAGTAGCAATGGAAAAGGAATAATGGCTTCCAAAGAGAGTGGATAAGAGCACCCTTGAAGCATTTAGCTCAGGATTAAGTCATGATGTAATGACTAATTAGGAACATGACCATTTTTTTTGAATGCTGCCTTTAATGAACCTCATTGGTTACATACCACAAAAGTGATGTCAAATGGCTTCCAGGTCCCATCATTTGTGTTTTACAAGATGGAGACCAAATAAATACTATAACCTAGAGATATATATCACTTGAGCTAAGTAGAATTGAGATTTTAGATGCAGATTCTCCAGTACTTAATTGAATGGAAAAAAAAGCCCTTCCAGTGCTCAAAATGCAATAAAGAGGGAAAAAAGAAAGAAAACCAAATTCTGTAATCATATTTTTTCAAAATATTTGAGGTTAGTGAATCTTACTAGGAAAAACATCATAAACTAACCCCAAATTATTTCCAAGGCTCATAATTAGGGTTGTGTAAGTGAGCATTGAGCAGTATTACGACCTGCAAATATATCTCATATGAAGTTGAATCCACAATAGTTTGAGAGTTTCCACATGGTAGATTTTGACTGGACAAAGGTTGAAGGAATGCATGAAAGAAGCTGATGGGCTAGACAGAGCTGGGGGTTAAAACCAAAATAACTTAATAATAAGCAGTTCATCTACATGGCTCCTCAGTGCTGCATAACTTACCCTTAGAAGGAGCTACCTGTCTGACTATGTGCTTGCAAGTGGACACGGAACACCAAGGTGACCTCCTGAATCATGTTGTCCTAGTGGGGCAAGGAGTTAGTGTGTGCTATGAGGGTATAGCCCATGGGGTCTACCACTCCTTGAAGCCCATTGAGAATTTGACAAGCTCATCTTCTGTTGCTTGGTATTTTCTGCTTGGCTAGGTATTCTTAATTTCATGGTATTGAGCAAAGCTCAGTCTTGTATATGTGTGTGTTCCTCTGCAAAGAGCAGAGGTCAATGCCAATTGTCTTCCTCAGTCACTATCTTATTTATTTCAAAAAATGAGGCTAACTTTTACATTTTATTTTATTACTCTGTGTGTGTGTGTGTGTGTGTGTGTGTGTGTGTGTGTGTGGTGGGGGTTGTATCCATGGACTTGCACAGAGGGTAGCCTATGGCTATTTCTTTCTGCTACTTGGGTCCTAGAGATGAAGCTCAGATCATCAAACTTGCTGACAAATGTTTTCCCCTGCTGAGCCAGGACCTCTCCCTGAGCCTGTAGCTCACTGACTCAAGGAGAGCGTCTGTTTAGCAAGCCCTATGTATGAATCTTCCTGTGTCATCATCTTCCCCGTCTTCCTCTCTGGCCCTCAGGACTGAGATCACAGGTACTTTTTACACCTGGATTCTCTTTCATAGTGGATTTTTAGAAATTAAACTCAGGCTTCAGTCTCGGGTTTGTCAGCTCTCACACATAATATTTTTGAAATTACCTCTGTTGGTCATTGAATCTTAGAATCCTGTTCTCTCTAGTACTACAGCTAGGGGTCTATAAGTCCCAGCATTTAGAAGTGCAGTGATAAGGGCAGACAAGAACCTTCAGAAGGAAAAACTTCTGTTCTGGGACAACTCAGTTCTAATGAGGGGAGACTGAGGAGCATTCCCAGAAGAGGGCTTCGTTTACATGACAGCTCCGTCCCTGGCCTATGCCCTTTCCACAGAATACTCAAAAGAGACTCTGGCTACAGTCACTTGGACATTTGACACCTGTCCAGTCCAAAGGGGTCCAACATTCACTAATTAGATGAAAACAACTTCCTACAGGGTCTGGGTACCCACAGATGTTCATTAACCCTTTGGCTCAGTATAGAACAGGGACAGATCAGTCTCATAACCATTTAACTTCCTCTCTTAGCAGACTCTTTTTTGTTCAAAGCTGTTTGCACTTTCTGCCTAAGTCCTCTTGCAGAGCTGTGGCTGGATCTCCACACATCATAGACGATGTGTTCTGACAGACATGAAGATTTAAGGTGAAATGCATGCGCTGTTTAAAATAAAATCATCTATGTCATGAGTAAGAAAAACAAAACAGATGGAATTACGTCTTTGGTCATGCCCCACAACTGTTTCAAGGTCTTCTAAAATACTTAATTTAATAAAGAAAGAAAAAATCCTCTAAAATTCTAAATGCAATAAAGAAAAAAGCCTAATTCTCAATCACATAGGAATTTGGTATCAATAGTTTCAGTGTAAGGAATTCTCTGGTGAAATGCACTGGGTTTATGAGTCAGAGGTTGAGGGTAAACCACCAAGACGGAATGACTATTGGTTGGAATGTGAGGGACAAAGTAGCTTTGCCTTAGCAAATTCTATGATAAAAGAAGGATCTGTTGGGGGAGCTGTGGTCAGAAAGGGGAAACCTCCTATCAAATCAGGCAAAATGTGCCGGCCGTCTCTGCAACACAACTCTAAGTTCCTCCAGAGGCATTCTGAGCAAAGGATTCTTCACAGACCATTTCTCTCCCACAGCTTCAAAGGCGGGAGGGTGCCTTGTAAGCCTTCGGTTAGTTCCAGAGTCACCAGGGAAGCTCACAGTCTTCAGGCTGCCTGGCTGCTTTTTGGATGGAATGCTTCAACTTGACATCAACAGGAAAGTGCAATCAGTCTTAGCCAGGGGATGCTGGAAATCTCTTTCTCTACTGATCGGTGGGGAAAGACAGGAGAGAAGGGAAGGGTTTATTCAATACCCGAGTGCCGAGTAAACAAGTACCCACGGTCGTTTCCTGCAGGGAAGTGGAAAGATTAGGCTGGTTTATATGGAGCTGAGGAGAGGGCTTAGCACACATTGTAGCTGATTAAACAAGAGTGAATCATTGCCCAGCCCCATCTAGATAATCTCCAGCCATTATCTTTCATAATAACGGGACTCTTGAGCGATCCATTCTCCTCTGACTGATGTCTGTGAAGAGGTGGAGGGCACCCTTCCCATGCATGATGTGTGCGGTCGTTCGATTGTTACCTTCCCGCCACAGTCCTTTCACGCGTCTTTACTTTTCAAGATCATACACAAGATACTGTTACAGACCCTAATTGTAAGCTTTTAAAACCGTGTGTTAGGAAGCCCAGGATCACTTTCAGGTTCTTAGAAGCAAAGTCCCTCTTGCCAAGTGTCCTTGGGGACCTTTGTTACTAGAAGTGGGCACTTTGCCAGATGCCGTAGCAAAGCTTTATAAAAATAGACAAGATAAATGGACTTTTAGTGTAGTGTTGTACCAGACTTTTAATTTTCAGGAAATTATATATTTTTTTAACTTAGCCAAGAGTGAGTCAATTTGTGACTTAGTTGAGAGGTCGGGGGTGGGGGTGGGGGACTGGAGAGTGGTGGCATGTGACATTTTAAAGTCAGGAAACCCTGCCACACAAAACAGATTTCTCTTGGCAATCAAGATAACTCAAGAACCACAAACACATTGTCAGAGGGAAAAATTACATTTTGCTGTAACACAGATCATGTACAGATGACTTATTCCTCTTTCAAGTTCAAGCACAAAAAGACTGTTTATATATTTCCACTTCTTACTCAGGAGGGCAGAACAACCTCGGAGGCCTGAAAAGATGGTGAGGGGCTCCCAGCTCTTCCTTTGATGAAGAAATAGCGTGATCACATATACAATCCAAGCGTTTGAGAGCCAGAATGGAGTCACTGCCATAGGTAGCCATTGTTCATTTTTAAAATCCCTGCACATACAAAAAAAAATCATTACTGCTGTTTCTGTGTTTTAATTTATTTTTAAAAGACTTTCGTTTTAAAAGTATGCATATGAGTGTTTTGCATACGTGTCTGTATGTGTACCACATGTGGGCCTGGGGCCTCACAGGCTGGAGGTGGGCCTGGGGTTCCCTGGAACTGGCACTATAGATGGCTGTGAGCCATCCTGTGGGTGCTGAGAAATAAACCCAGGCCTCTGGAAGAACAACGCGTGCTCTTAACCACTGAGCCGTCTCTCCACCTCTCTTTTAACAGCTCCAGCTGTTTAAAAAAATGTACACTTCGCTTGATTCCTTTGGAATATGGCAAAAATTTTCCCTAAGTGGGGTCCTGGCTGCCTGTATCATTTCAAGGGTATCCTGAATTGACACAAATATCCCCAATTTTATGGTATCATTAAATTTTATAACAGATCCATCCCATGGTAAACATAATTGTATGAAACAATTGAAAAATGTTTACTGAGCCCCTTTGAAGTGCAGGGGGAGGTGAGGGAAACAGATATTTCTGAAAAAGTAACCAACAGTCTCTAAAAAGTTTGCAAGGTAGTGTAGAGGAAAGATGTACTTGTGCTTACAAATATACAAACACACATGGTCAGCGTTAAGCAGTAATGTGGGGGAAGTAGTGTAAACAGCTAAACAGTGAAAGGACGCAGTAGTATATATGAATGCCTGCTTCCATGATGATGATGATGATGATGATGATGATGATGGTGGTGGTGGTGGTGGTGGTGATGGTGAGTATATGTGGAGGTGGGAGAGAGATTGGGTTTTTTCATTACTGATATTCCCTCCTCTGCCTTCCTCCCCCTCCTACTCCCTCTTTGTGAGTTAGGATACCCTATAGCCCAGGATGGCCTTGAGTTTGCTGTTTAGCAAGGATCTCAAACTCTTATCCTCCTGCCTCCACCTCTCAGGTGCTAACATTACAGGTGCACACCCCCATGTCCAGTTCACACGGTTCTAGACCTTGAACTCAGACTTCGTGCATGCTAGACAAGCACTCTATCAAATGAACCACATCCCTCTGTTTTTATTTTATAGAACTTATGTGCATTTCCTCCAGGCCTCTTGAAAGGAGGCCTATCTTAGGTATCTGTCACATAATTGCCAGTAGCTGAAACAATTGCCTTGGGATCAACTCCATTTTACAGACCTTGAAATGGATCCTTAGTCACCAAGCAAGTTACCTAAATCTGCCAGTCAGCAAATGGCAGCGCCAACCTTCTTCAGATTTTGTACGTTCTAATACAGTACCCTGTGGATTACAAATGTTTTAAAACATAAGCTTTGCAGACCTAGATTTGATCAGATAGTGCCGGGATAGTAAAATGAGATCACAGACCACTCAGTGCTGAGCTGAAGTCTCAGCATGTTGGAAAACCTTCACTGTGCTTCCTGCTCCCAGGGTCTCTGTGACTTCAAATAGTTGGCTTTTTAACTAAATAAAGTTGTGCAAGATGAAATCTCAGTTCGTTGCTTCTGTAGCTGAGACCACTTGAGCTGAGCTCTCTTCAGTTTCCAGGGCAGCCTTCAGGGGTATACAAATCATAAAACGTGTAAAAATTCTATCTCTTCCCTTGGGGGAAGAGAGGGGAAGTTCCCTAGTGAGTGGCTGGTGTCTGAAGGGTGCTGTGTGTCTCAAAGATGAATTTCCAGGTAGCTAATTGGAACCGGATGTGCATCTTACCCGCTTTTCTGGAAACTTCTTTCTCCCTCCCACCCTAGCCCCCTACCCGCCCTGGGTTAGGAGACTAAAAATAAATTTAGGCAGAATTTAGAATGGAAAAAAGTCCCCCCATCTCAATTTTGGGATGAAATGAAAGTTTATTGCGGCAAAGAAATGTTTTCATCTGTTTTGTAAGATTCAATCGGCAGATAATAGGTAATTACAAGCTAATTCCTTAGACTTAAAGAACCCCAAGACTGAATGGAAATGTGATTATGTCTGTTTGGGAAAAGGCATTTGCGAAATATTTGTGTTCATTACTCTTCCTCTGAGCAGAATGCTTAAATCAAGTTCTGTCTCCCTTTGGGGAACAAGTTTCTGCAATTGAAGATACTGAATTTTCTTTTACCTAGTTCTGTTGATATGAGAACCTGGGGATAAATTCTGTTAGTCTTGTAATGGGCCCTACATATTAGGCAGTTGCCAAAGTCACTCTATCCCCATCCTTCATTAAGTACTGGATTATTTTATGAGTGCCATTCAGTGTCACTTTTCTGTCCCTGCATTTATCTAATGGGAAAAGGGTTAAGGTATTTATCTGACCCCACCATTTATTTCTCAAATACCTGGGTACCATTCCTGTTTTTGAAAAACTCATATTTATTTTAACTATGTGTCTGTGTGGAGGAATCTGCATGTAAGTGAGAGGTGCCTGTGAAGGCCAAAAGGGGGTGTTGGATCCCCTGGAGGTGGAGTTAAGGTGACTGTGAGCCGCCCAGTGAGGGTTCTAGGTGCTAAGTTTAGGTCCTTTGCAAGAGCAGCAGGATTTAACTGTTGAGCCACCTCTTCAGTCTTGCAGTCATTTTAATTATGCATAGTAACACTAACAAGGACAATTTAGGCCCTATTTAATGCCCGTGAAAGCACTTCAAAGTAGGTGCTGTGTTCACATTGCAGGTGGTGACATGAGGTTTAGTGAGTGTAGTGGTAAAACTTGGGGCTGGAGAGGTGGCTCAATGGGTGGAGACATGCTTGCTGTGCAAGCTTGAGGGAGTGAGGTCATACACCCAGCACTCACGTGAAAACACCGAGAGTGGCGGTGCACACCCGTAATTCCAGTGCAGGGGCGCTGAGACTGTAAGATCCCCAGAGCTCATGGTCCAGCAAGAGGAACAGCCCACTACCAGGAAGACAAACCGAATAGAGACCAGATTATAGGAAATATGTTGATGTGGGGCAGATGGAGTAGGAGTGGCCGATCATGCCCTGGGGATGTTGAACTTCTCTGTTGCAAATAATTCTGCTATTTGTATTATTCTGTACAATTCTGCTATTGTATTAGCTTGTGCTGCTAAAACTTGTGGAGATTTAGGAGAGGAGGGACCCACGTCACCACTTGTGTCATCTTGTCAACATATAGCCACTAGCTTATTTCCTTTACTTTCACCAAAATTACTCTAGTCTAGAAAATGAAGGGGGGAGATATTTAAGGAGAAAAGGACACAAGGAAGAAAATATGTTTCAACCCAAATGCCAAGAGCTAAGAAAGCAACTGTAGAATTGCTGATTTCTATGCCCATGAGAAACGAGGAAGGTACTGTCTCTTTTAGCATTCACACCTTCATTGGATCAAGTGGTCTCTTTTAAGTCCTTAGCCTGGATTCTCAGAGTCCAGGCAGCTGGGGCACATGGCAGGGATCCAGGGCTGGGTACCAACTCTCTGCATACTGCCATATACAATGGCAGCTGCTACTGTTCCTTCTTTGTCAGTGACTCTGTTGGACATCTGTCATGCTTGCCTAGCAAGCATTTACTTTTTCCAAGGACCTATTTATTTTATGTGTATGAGTGTTTTACCTGCATACCCATGGAGACCAGAAGAGGATATCAGATTCCATTGCACTGGAGTTACAGATGGCTCTGAACCACCATGTAGGTGCTATGAACTGAGCCCTGGTCCTCTCTAAGAGCAGCAAGTGCTCTTCCATCTCTCCAGTCCCCAGCAAGACTTTGCAGCAACACTGGCTCATTTTCGTTGAATGAGGGGAAGCTGAAACGGAAGTGAAACCCAGAAGACAGGAAAAGAGATCCTAGGCAGGGCAAAGAAAGATTCTCAATGATGTCCTTGTCGGGCACTTTTCGCCATCTCTTCTCCATCCATCTCTCATTGAACTTTCTGCTTATCAGTTGGCTAGAATGCCTGCTCAGGGATCTTTGTGTTTCCCTTCCTCCAAAGCCAAGGACTGAAGTTCCAGACATTTGCCACTACAGCTTTTGCTTGGGTGCTGGGATCTGAACTCAGATCCTGTGGTTTGCACAACAAGCACTCTGACCTGCTGAGCCATTTCTCCAGCTGATGTTTCCCGAAAGCCTGAATCAAGGCTGCTCAGTGTGAACCCTCAAACTTCTTTCTTTCCTCCTGTCTCCCTCTCTCCTTTCTCCCATCTCCTTCCTTCCTTCCTCCCTTCCTCCCTTCCTCCCTTCCTTCCTGCTTGCCTGCCTGCCTCCTTTCCTTCTCCTTCTTCCTTATCTGTCTTTCTCCCAACCTTCTTTCCTCCACTTCCCCTCCTTCCCTCCCTTTCTCCTTCCTTCTCTCCCTGCTTCCTTGCCTTTTTTTTTTGGGTGGGGGAGTAAGTTTACAGTTAGAACTTGGCTCAGGTCTGAGATGTTTAAGCAGAATGACATATGAGCACTTTTTTATATCAGAGTATGCAAATCCACATGTCTGTGCTCACATCTGAGGGCCATTCCAGTGTTCCTGCTTCAGGCAGTTTCTATGTGTCCCACACCAGGATGTCCCACTCAGCCAGTCTTCACAAATCAACCTCTGAGTGTGTATGACACAGTTTCTGTGAGTGGCTCGAAGGCACAAAACATGGTCAAGAAAGAAGACAGCTGACCTACTGACAGAGGGCAAGAGTGGCGGCAGAATGCCAGGCTGTGTAGGGGCCACGGAGTCTCTGATAGGCTACGATGGCCCCATTTATCAACCGCTGGCTGCAGCAGCAGGCCTCAGACAGATAAGGCAAGCAGAAGCTCTCCTAAGGAAGCATGAAGACACCTCACACCATTAGCAGGTGACTTTGGCTTTGCTGGGGTGCCTGTTGTTGCTACCTGTGGGAAACGGGGGACCACTTGTTAGGGAGAGAAACTTCAGGAACTCCTTTCGAAGAAGGACCTTTCAGGGGTTATCAAGAACTCTGCATACAAGATTCAAAGCATTTTACAGAACTCAAATGTCATATTTAAGTGTGTGGGTTTTTTTTTTACACTCTTTTTTTTAAATTTCTTAATCAAAGCCCTATCATTGGCATCCTGGTAAATATTTAATAACTAACTCTTTAGGAAAAAGGGGAAAAAGAGTTCTGGTTAGTGCTGGTTTTAGCTGTGTAAATAGACCCTGATGGCCAATTTCCAGCAGCCAATATATCAACTGACTCATGAAATTCCTCAAATTTAACAATTGGCTCTGGTATGAGCCAACTCCACCTACCCTGAAATTACTGAGGAGAGGTTCTAATTATCAGACGTATTGTGTGGATAAGGGGCCAACCATGAGTCCTCTGTGTAGAACTCGGATGTCAATCACATTGCAGAAGCTCAGAATGAAAAGCTAGTCATGCCTTTCACATCTTGTCCTCAATGAGGACCATTCTGGTGCCTCTAGACCTTAAGGTAATGCCAGAACAGACTCTAGCTGTGGAGGTCACAGAGGGTCATCGTCTGCTGTCACCTCCACCTGCAGCCTGATTATGGTATGTGGCCTGCTCTTCAGCATGAGTCAGGTGCCCAGCAGCCGAACACAAAGGCAGCCATTGTAGGGATAAGGGACTACGCAATCTTTGCAATAAGAGAAGCATATGCCCCAGGGTAGAAGACAGTCACCAGAGGGGAACGGGGTGGAGCATCCTCACCTGTCCAAGGCCTGTGATGTGTCTGAACACAGCAGGCAGACAATGTAGCAGCCCCATGAAAGGACAGGAGAGAAGAAGGAAAAGGCGAGGGCGCTCTCTTAGTGGTGGCTGCAGCAGGAGGAAGGAGGAAGATGAGGGCGGGGCAAAGAGGAAGGCAGCAGCTAGCTGCAGTTAGTTGGCTGGCAGAAAAGGGCTTCACCCATGAAGCAGGTGGGGCGGGTTGGCTCAGTCAGTGCAGAGGTGGGGCTGAGTTCTGGGAAGCTGCCAATTTTACAAGAGGGGAAGGATGCAGGTGGGAAGGGCTGTGAAGTTCTGACAAGCAGGTAGCAGTTTGTTTTAATATTAGTCATTTTGCCCGAACTGCATTTACAAACAAAAGAACAGCAGCTGTCCCAAAGATACAAACTATGTACATACACATGTTGAAGTCTACAAAGCAGGGTTGTTGTGTTTGTCTTAAGAGGAAGAAAGGGAAGGTGGCTGGTAGTCTTTTAAGCTTTCCTGCTCCCTTTATCATTTCATGCCTAAGTGCCCTCTGAATTAAAGGGACAGAGCAAAGTTTTAAAGGGGAAAATGGCACATCAAATGTGTCTTTTGCTCCACACAGCAAGTAAAAGCATAGGAGGCAGGAGGATCACTTTGAGTTCAAAGTCAGCCTGAGCTATGGTGACACTGCCTCAAAACCAGATAAAGCAAAGATGAATTGGCAGCCTTTATGATTTTATTATTATCATCATTATTCCTATTATTATTGCTACTTGATTTCTTCCTTCCCCTCTCTCTTTCTCTTCTCTCCTTCCTTCTTTCCTTCCCCTCCCCCACCTCTTTCCCTCCTTACCTCCCTCTCCTTCCCTTTTTCTTTCAGAGATCGGATCTTTCCATGTAGTTGTGGAAGGTCTAGAACTTGATATATAGGCTAGGCTTGCCACCAACTCCCACAGGATCAAAGGTTTGTGCCACTATGTCCTGTCTACTAGACTGACTTTCTTTCATTTACTTTTAGGTCTTTGTATATGTGTATATCAAATGCAGAGTTTTTCCCTGGCAACCTAAGCCTGCCTTTCTCCCTAGTTCCCTGAAAACAGTCTGTGGGGTTCCCTTCGAGACCCCAGATTAGGCACAAAACACACCCAAACATCTGTTCTCACAGAGATCCTTCAGGAAGAGGAAAAGAAAAGTTGAAGTGATTGCTTTCTGACTCAGACAGAAGCCAGCAGCAAATGACCTTATAGGTGTCCTTCTTAAGCAGAGGAAAAGGGAGGTCTATGTTAGGATGGGGTAGGATGTGGGCACATGAGGTGGTAAAGGATGAAGGAGAAGGGAAAGGGAAAAGGAGACGGGGAAGAGGTGTTTGCCCCGGAGGGACAAAGGACTGCCTCTGGATGGAGAGGAGACAGACAAGGCCCATAGGCAAATGACAGCTCATAAAGGTAAAGGGGAACTCCCCCCCCCCCGTTAGGATGAGGTGTTTCATTTTAATTGGGCATGTTAATTAGGTGAGTCAAAGGGGGCTTCTGATTGCTGGACTTTGGTACTCAGCCTCAGGAGGAGGAAGTGAGCAGATAAAGGGAAAGGACCTTGGTGGCTAGCTTTAGGAATGTGCTCTGTGTTTAGCAAGGCAGAGGGAATGGGGGAGAAGGGCAGAGCCCCACACTCTAGCGGGTTAGTGCCTCCATTCCCCACTCTTACTCACCATTTTTCCTGGACGCTTTCACTTCGACTCTCACGCCTTACATATTTTGCTTGATTTTATAAAATCTAAAATCTAGGAACAATGAATGAGAAAAGACATATGGTATTTTTCTTTCTGAGACTGGCTTAATTTGCTTCTCTCTAGTTGCATTCATTTTCCTTCAAGATGACAGAACTTTGATCTTCTTAAGGACTGTAGATTTTTCACTGTGTTCGCATACCATTTTCCTTATCCATTCCTCTGCTAGCTTGGTTTCACAGCTGAGCTAATGTGACCAGTGCTGCAGTAAACACTGATGTGCAGAGAGCTCCATGATGTGTGAGCATAGAGCACTGTGGGTACCCAGGACTGGTGTAGCTTGGTTACATGGCCGATCTGATACTGGGTTTAAGACACTTCCACACTAACTTCCATAGTGGTCAAAGTAGTCTACATTTTCAATTTTGTTGATTTTGTTTGTTTGTTTTTATTTTTCAAGACAGGGTTTCTCTGTGTATAACCCTGACTGTCCTGTGGCCTCGAACTCAGAGATCCATCTGCTTCTGCTTCCTGAGTGCTGGGATTAAAGGCATGTGCCACCACTGCTCGCTCAAACCTGGTGGTGAGTTTTGAAAGTAAAGAAGACAGAGTGCTTCTGGGGAAAGAGATTTGTGCACACAACAAACGGCTTAAACCAACAAAGCAAAAGATTTTGATGGACATTTCAGCTTAGCACCTTTGGCCTTGACTTGGAAACAAATGGCAGACAATACACTTCCCATGTGCCATGCTGCATGCACAGATGTGTATGCGGTGACCTTGTACATGATCGTGAGTTACAACACTGACTCAAAGAGTAATCCAGTTGGGGAATATGTTTCCCACCCTGTGCCCCCAAAAGGAGAAAACACATATCTCCTTCAAGCAGGTTCTTTCATGAACAACAAAGATAACAGGAAACCAATATTCCTCTGATCCCTTAAACTCCCATCTGAGGAAGCCTCATGGATTTTACAACAGAAAGGAATCAATGATTTTCAGATGTAAGTACATATTAACCCAGAAAGAGAAAAATCATAATTAAAGCCCAATGGGAACACTCCATCCATATTTCAGCCTCAGTGAATTCTCAACCTTCTCTATTTTCTTTCCCTCGCCCATCTTTTGTAAACCCAGAAACTAGGTCAGAAACATCAGGTCCCTGTTTGGCATGAAATTGACAAGGCAATCTACAACCAAGGAACACTCAGTCCCTCTAAACACACTATAAATAATTTATTTTAAAATTTAGTTAATTCATCTTAAATGTATAAATAATGCATGACTGAGTGTTCTGTGTAAAAATGTCTAAAATGTGAAGGCTGTCTGTAATAGAGTTACTAAATGCATTCCTTCCCTGATAGTTTCTCTCACAGACTGAAAATTGTGGCTTCTGATTTGCTGAGTATCCATCCTGGGCCTTTTTCTAATTATGTACCTATAATATTCACTTCAAATACTTTTTACCTCTGACATCATCAAGAGACTTGTTTCATTAGCAAATAATCTTTCAGTGATTGGTAGACAATCAGAAAAACTCTAATGAATTATAAGCCATATTCCTTGTCTGAAACTGCCCGAAACAGCTGAGAATCTAAGTTACAGTGAAACAGAAAGAGAGAAGGGGAACTCAAGATATAGAAGGGTGCAGAAGAAATTGATTACTCTTGGCTCCTGCTTCCAGGAAAGGGCTTTCTGGTGACATCACACATTAAGCAGGGATTAGCCAATGGGAACAGAAGAAATGCATTTTAGATAAAGGGACCAAAAGGTTATTGGAAACTGGAGTCAATTGTACATTCTGGAGACCCCCTACCATGCCTTTTCTCTGGTTGAGTATCACTTGCTAGGTTGCCAGTGGGGATGAAAATATGAATCACTTTATTATCCTTTTTATCTTGGTGGCTATCAAATTCCTGGCAAATGTTTGGCTTATCTTTCAAAGGATAAACATGTATTGAGCTATTGAACTGGTTGGACAACCACCCTGGAGATTGGTGAGCTGAACACCAACCTTCTCGTTGGCCAGAGAGTTGTTCAGGTGACCAAGGTCATTCTATAGACAATAGACTCTCAACTGAATCTTGCCAGAAGGGGCTATTCTCTTGACAAATATTTTGTAATAACCATGTTGTTCCCTGAAATAAAATAGATTCTGTAATGCACTTTCCACTCATATAATATTTTAAAAATCAATATGATGCTCTGCCCCCAGTTTAAAAAAAGAACACATAATCAAATCCTGCACATATGCTTCTATACATAATCCACGGACTGTAATCAACAAGATACAAGACTGAGTAGGTATTTGTTCATGAACCTACAAGAATGCTGCCAGTGGTTAGTTTTGACCTTAACTTGTATGTTATGTTTTCTGGAATGGAGAAAAGTTAGTAATATTCTAAATTGAAAAAGCCCAATTTATCTCTTGGAATACTCAGTGTATACTAGGAATGTACCAATATCACTGGATAGATCTCTATCAGAGAGATAGCCTGTCCTAGTTAGTTACAGATAGCTTATTTCTTGTTTGGGATGGTCTTGCTCACAGTTGCCTGTCTAGCAGCCTCATTACCTGCCCCAGTAACTATAAATGGTTCCCTCACTCAGATCATCATGACAATACTCAGCTGTCCAACCACATTTCTGAATTATTCTCTCTGGTCAGAATTGCCTCTATTAAAAGTCATTGCCTTGTATCAATCAAAATTCACAATTGGAACCGTCTTTGAAAATGTGAGCTGGTAGAAGATATGTTCTAATAAATCTTCAGTTCTGTGTTAATTGCATATCAGTAATACTGGATGATTTGTTGGTGTGATGGACACTGTGTTATAAAGACCTTTTCTCCTTATTGATCAGTAATTTTCTCACCTCTTAAAAGATATCCTGACATCTAAATGAGGCCCACCAGTATACCCTGGTGGCTAATAAGTTTAGAGTAAGAAATATAAACTGTGGTTAAGAGTTTCTAGACCAACACAAAGAGGAACTAAAGAGAAAAGATGCCAGAATTTTAGCCACTTCTGTGATTTTGAAGATGTCTAACTCTGAGTCGTGACTCAGGAGGACATAGGGACCAGTCTGCAAGAGAGGGTTCTGTCTCTGGTCTCTAAACCACCAGGGTGACAATCCTGGAGTGAAAGAGCTCCTCTCTACACTTGTATACACCACAAAATTCATTTGAAAACCACATTGAAGGTCAATGTTACCTGATTGGATGGAAAATGAGAAATGGTAGCTAGCACTCGGGATAACTGCCTCTGAACACAGAGAGATTTGTGGGTGTAATCAGCTTGGATTTCTAAGCGACTGTAGTACACCGTTCCCTCAATCCTTTCCAAGAGGACACTGGCTCCCTTATTGACTAAAAAAGTTTTTCAACATGCTGAACTGTCCA